TGATAATGAAATCTACTTGTCATCTCCTTGCACCCTTGTGACCATTGTTCAGTTTTGGGCTGGGCTAGGTCACCAATGAATTCTCTTCCTACCCAGAGTTTCAGTGATGCTGGGTAGGAAGCTATTTCTCAAGGTTCAACACCAAGATTAAATCACCAATATGAATTGGAACAATTTTGGAAAGCCGTACGATATCAGATAGGAAGAGTGAGAGTTATTCTAACGCTAGGACTAACCCTAAGGATTTTATTGACAAGGAAAAAACTGTGAAAAATTCTTTTTAGAGGCATTTTTTACAGTAACAACCAAATGGAAACAAGCTATGTGTCTGATGACTGGAGGGATGGCTGACATTGGACCATGTCATAGGATTGTAGATTTAGAGCTGGGGGGGGCCTTATAGGCTATCAGGTTCAACTCCCTCATCTTACAGATTGGGAAACAGAGGCTCAGAGAGGTGGCCACTTGTCCAAAGTCATACAGAGAGCAAGCACCTGAGACAGGATTCAAATCAAGATCTTCTTGACTCCAGGTCCAGTGCTCTACTCAGGCTGCCTCTGTATATGAACATTATGGACTATGGCAAACATCTCTTAGTGCCCCCTAAGAAATAACCACAATACTTTCCATGGTTTCATTGGTGTGAGCACTCTCCCATCTGGGCAGATCACTGCCCCTCTATGTCTCAGGGAGAGAGAGAAAGACAGAGAGAGAGAGAGAGAGAGACAGAGACAGAGACAGAGAAACAGAGACAGAGACAGAGACACAGAGAGGGAGACAGAGAGATCTCAGTCTCAGATCCCTATGGGACAAGATTTTGGCATGGGGAAAGCCTGTTTGTCGCTGCTTGGCACTGCACAAATACATGTTCTAATCACCATAGGGTGAAGTCCCTTTCCTCAAGTGTTGACTTACTGTGCTCAGCACGAGCTTGGGTTGTAAGGTAACAGGATGATGACTGATACCCTGGGGCTCAGAGGATGAACTTGGCCTTCCATTCAGCCTTTCAGCTCCACCAAATCAATCTGCTGATTTCTGATCTGTTCTGGACCTGGACTAAAATCAAGGTCTTGGCAGAATCCGAAAATCACCCCTTTTTTCTCATCCTCTGGACTTGAGCTGTCTTTTCAGAGGACACCAAAAATGACTTCCTTTTCTGGAGATCGCCTCCCTAGGCTCTGCTCCAAGATGGTGAGACTGGCAGGCTTTGGCCCTTGGATGGGGATGGCCTAGTGTGCCTTCGGACGACTCTCACCTTCCCTTTTCAGATCCCCCTTTCTTTCCAAACAGCCAATGTCCTCAGGCTGCCTCCTGACTCCCTAGGCCTCCTTTTCTTCTTGACACTGTTGCAGTATTGTTCCCCCCCCACCCCACCCCCCAGCCCCGAAGTGTCCTCCTTGGGTTCCATGACACGATCTTGTTTTAAATCAGACATTTACTGAGCTAGTGTCAGAGCATTGTGTTCAGCCCTGAGGGTGAGACAAAGTTTGGATGAAATACAGTCTCTGACCTCATAGAGCAGACTCATAGGAGGGTGATGACCTAAACAGAATACATAATTTTATCCAAGGACCACCTTTGAAAAATGCAAAGAAAGTGCATCTGAGTTTCCAGGGGAAATAGGTATCACCAATGGTGTGGGAGGGGTCCAGGAGGAAGAGTGGGGATCTAAGAAGCTTCATAATGAGGAGGTGGAAAAGTACAGGTTGTTTTTGTGGGGAAGAGAGTGGTCCAGCTTGGGCTGGAAATGTCTGGTGATGCTAGACTTCAGAAATCCTTGAACACCAGGCAGAGGAGTGGGGCGCCATAGTCTCCTCCTACCCCTCAGGCTGCTCCCTCTGGCTTCACTTCCCTTCTTTCCACCCCCCAAATACATTTTTTAATTTTAAATTTTAATTTTAATTTTTTTCTAAATACATTTCTCTCCTTTTTTTGGCCCACAGTCCCTAGCTACCTCAGGGATCCCTTCCAGTCTCAGGATTTCAACTATTACTCTGATACAAATGGCTTCCACTGGCTCCATCTTTAGCCCAGAAGACCTGATCATTAGGCAATGCCTGGCTTAGCACAGTGCCTGGCACATAGTAGGTCCTTAATAAATGTTTACTGATTGATCGATTGCCCCCTGTCCTCTGTCCTCACACTGTATAGAAAGGGCACTGACCCCACCCTTGCAAAAACAGCACCTCCTCTGCCCTCCACCACCACGCCACCCTAGTGGGAAAGAAAGGGTTACTTCACGCCCGACTGGACATTCTTATTAATTGTTTTCCATGCCTGGGATTATCTCCATTCTCTTCTCCACTCCCTGGCTTCCTTAGCTTCATTCAGTTGAGAACCTCCCTCCTATAAGAAGCCTTTCTCACCCCCACTGAATGTCAGCGCAAATTTTCACCCATTGATTCTCTCCAAACTGTCTTGTCTAAAGCTAGTTTGTCCATAATTGTTTGTGTGTTGTCTCTCCCATTAGATTGGAGGCTCCTTGAGGGCAGGGGCTGTTTTTGTCTTTCTTTGAATCTCTAGTGCTTAGCATAGTGCCTGGCACGCAATAGGTGCTTAATAAATGCTTGTTGATTTGACTACCCACTTTCTCCACTTCTGCTGGGTCTAACCACAAGTGGAATCACAATAAAAATGAGTGATTAAGTAAATGAATAAATGAAATCATTTATTTCACTTTGATTGGCTGTATCCTGTTCCTCTCAGTGGCTGTGACAGATCATTGTCCCTTCTCCAGCCCCGATCTAGCTCACTCCTTTCTGTCTCCTGGCTTTCTACCTCCCCAAGAGTCAAACATCAAAGGCATGAGGTTGTGCCTCATGGAATCTGCGTTCAGATTCCGCTCCTGATGTTTACTATGTATGTGACCATGGGCAAATCACTTGACCTCAGTTTTCCAATCTGTAAAACAAAGGGTTTGGAATAGATGGTTGCTGAGGTCCCTAAACGACCTGTTGTGAGATCCTTCCCTCCCCCCTGCCTATGCCACACCTCCAATTCTTTTGAGTCTCCACCTGCCTCTCTTACTTCAGCATCAGAACAAGTTGGCACTTTCCCTAATGACGCCATATCCCTTCAGGTATCTCCCTGGACCCCCGCCCCCCTAGAGACTGCCCCTGGAGGGTGAGGGCAGGACTTCTTCCCTCCCCCACTGGCCCACCCTGACCCTCCCCTTCCAGGTGCCACCAGGTTCTTCTCACCAGCTCAGCCTAAGGAGTCCAGGCCTCCCTTCTGGCTCTGCTAATGCACCCCAAGAACCACTGGGCCTTTCCTCCTCCTTGCAGGTGAACGCTCCCATCTAATGCTTCCCTCCTTCAGAAAGTGAGCCCTTCCTGAGCAGGGCTGCCTTATTTTCCCTTTGTACTCTCAGCCCTTGGCACTTTGTTTGGTATGCAGAGAGAGCTTTGTTAATGCCCTTCGACCCTACTTCCGCTACCTGTCTACTCGTGCTCCCATCCTTTCCTAATTCCACTGGGAGGACATACCATCCATTAGTCCTTCCATCCATGCACAAGCATTTACTTGTGGGCCTACTATGTACTAGGCACAGAGGATAAAGTACAAAGAATAAAGCCATCATGTGGGGGCCAACAAGTCAGTAGCGAAGTCTACACAGAATAAATATGAATATACATTGTTATATAATAGTACAAGGTAGCTTGGGAGGGAGGGCACCTGCAGGTGGGGGGACCAGGCAAGGCTTCACACAGAATTGGGGCTCGAGCGTCTCAAAGGAGGAGGGTGATTCTGTGGGACAGAGGGGAGAAGGGGAGCATTCTAGGTATGGGACCCAGCCAGCGCAAAGACCAGGAGATGGAGCATCTTGGGATGAGCAGGGAGAAGGCTGGTTTGGTTGGATCACAGAGTGAAGGGGAGTAACAATTAATGAGGATGGAGAAAATGTTGGGGCCCAGTGGAGAAAGGCTTTACAGTGGAGTTCACATGGCATCCTGGAGGCCCAGGTCTTCCCAGGAGGAGCCAGGAGTGTTTATTGAGCAGGGAAATGACACAGTCAGGACTGCACGTGAGGACAATCACGCAGCTATCTGCATGGAGAATGGATTGGGGTGGGGAGAGGCGTAAGGCAGGAGGACCAGTGAGGACATTGGGGTAGTAGTCTAGGGTGAGGGGACATGTTCTTTGGGCTGGTGAGCTTCCTGACATGGCTCAGGTCATGCCTTGTAGGCGACCCTCTGCCCTGTCTGTAGGGAAGGCCAGCCCTGCCCTTGGACCCTGGGACTCCATCATCAGAAATCTCTCAGGTGTGTGTGTGTGTGTGTGTGTGTGTGTCTGTGTGTGTGTGTGTCTGTGTGTGTGTGTGATATAGCATAAAGTGCCCCAGATCTGGCACACGAAATCTGGGTTCTGAGATTTATTAGCTACATGACCATGAACTGATCTTCTCTCTGAGCCTCAGTTTCCTCATGTGTAAGATGAGAAGTGGGCGGCTAGGTGGCACAGTGCATAGAGTCCTGGGCCTGGGGTCAGGAAGACCTGGGTGTGTCTCTGGACAAGTCTCTGAGCCTCAGTTGCCTCATCTGTAAGATGGGGATAATCAAAGCAGCTGACTCAGCGTGGGGTTGTGAGGTCCACATGAGAGCGAGCATAAGAAGCTTTGCGTGCCTGAAAGTGCCAACAAATGATGACCTATTATTAGGAAGTAAAAAGAGGGACTGGTTTGTGACTTCACTGATAAAGGCCCTCCCTGAAGAGGAAACTCCTTCCACTGATGCTTGTCGTACCTCCCTGCTGCCCAGAGTTGTCTGGGCCACTGAGAAAGTAAGAGACTTGTCCAAGGTCACACAGCCAGTCTGTGTCAGGGGGGGACTAGCCCAAGTCTCTTCGAGATGAGGTCTCTACACACTCTTATCATTAGAAGAAGACATGAATAACCCTTGCGCTTTTCTCTTTGCAGGGTTGTTGTGGGGAAGCATCTTAAAGCATCCTTGAAATGGGGGTGGTTTCTATCGTTCCTTTCCCCCATCTCACCCTCTCCTCACCTGGCCGACTCTTTCCACTCCATCTCCTCCCCGTCATGTTGCAGGGTATCCATCTCTGTGAAGAGGGTTGGGGTGGGAATGCCATCTTCGTCCCCCAGGATGTAACGGAGCCTCTCAGCAGCTGGGGACCCTGAAAGAGAGAAGAGAGGTAGCTCGGTAAGTCTGCTATGGTCTCCCGGAGGCAGAGTGTCCTGGGTGTGGGGAGGCTGAGGCCATCTGGTGCTGCCAGAGCAAGAAGAGAGTCCTGGGGGGATGCGGCTGTGGGAAAAAGTTTCTCCAAGGCCTCGGCCCACCTGGGCTGACAGCTGGCATCAGGAAGAGGAGACTTTTTTGGCTGGGGCCACTGACACCAGCTCCCAGCCCCAGTGCCCGGGGCTGTGAGGACTGAGGCTGATGCCTGGCCACCAAAGCGGCCAGTTGGGACACCAGAGCCCAAGGCTTACCTGCAGGGTAGCACATCCTGAGACGCGATGGAGAGGATGGAGTGAGGGCTTCTGGCCTCCCCACAAACCCACCACGTTAATGTGTGTCCATGCATCCATTCCCCTTCCTTCCCTGTTTCTGGTGAGGACACTGTTATCCTCCCATAATCTCATTTTTGCCTTTTCTCGGTCCCTCACTGCCCCTTCTCTCTGTTTTCATCCTTGGATTCCTCATCGCTCCACTCATCCACATCACCCAGGCCATCATCACCTCTTGCCTGGACAATTGTAAGAGCCAATAGTTGGCCTGCCCTCAGTCTCTCTGCTCTCCATTCTGTTCAAGAGCTGCCCAAATAATCTTCCCAAGGCAAAGTCTGACCAAGCCACTCCTCCTGTCTCTAGGAGAAAAGAATTCCTTATCCTGGCATTTAAGGCTCCTGACAGGTTCTGGCCTGCCTTGGAGTCATTTCACATCACTCCCCTTCATTCACTTGATGTTTCAGCCAAGGGGGACTAGTGGCTGTTCCCTAGATAAGCCACCTCTGGCCCTTCGGTGCCCTTTAGTGCTTGTACAGCACCCAGAGTGTCTCCCATGCCAGGATAGGCTCCCTCATCTCCACCTCTTGGAATCTTCACTCAAAAGTTAGCTCGGGCAGGACCTCATCTGAGAAGCCTTCCTTGGTCAGCCCAGTTGTCCACTCTCTCTCCCTTCTTAAATTTTCCCAAAGCACTTTGATACATTTATTATACATTTAGTAAAGGAAGTGACCTCAGAAGTTGGCTGTAGTCCAACTCCCCCATGGATGAGGAACTTGAGTCCCAGCACTATGGCCTGGCACATAGTAGGAAAGACACACAAGTAGATAGTTCCATATCTGGAATTCAAACTGTGGCCCTCTGGCTTCAAATCTAAGGCTCTTCCCCCTACATACATCATGCACCTTCCTGGTAGAATATAAGTTCCTAAAAGGCAGAGACTGCTCTGATTTTGTCTTTGTATTTCCAGTGTCTAGCACAGTAACTTACACATAGTAGGTGCTTAATAAAAGTATTTTGACTTGACTTGAATTTTGACCTGTTTCCTACCTTCTTTAAAATGGCGATGGTGGAACTGCCCAGCTGCTTGGGAGTGGGTTGTCCACTGGATTATTCCAGAATGTCAGAGATGAAGGGACTTCAGAAGTCATCTAATCTAACCTGTGGTTACCTGAACTGGCACCCCTTCTACCACATCCCAGACAAGAGCTCAATCCAACCTTTACTTGAAGACCTCCAGGAAAGGGAAACTCATCAGCTTTCAAGGCAGCCAATTCCATTTGGGACGGCTCTCATGAGTAGGAAGTGTTTCCTTATCCTGATCCTAAACTTTCCTCTCTGTCACTGTGACCCCTTGACCCTAGTCCTGCCCTCTGGGGTAAAGCAGAGCGAGTCTGATCTTACGTATAACAAGTCTTCAAATACTTCAAATGCAGCCTTATCCTCTTGGTGTGGTCTCTAACCTGTACTGTCCTGGGCCTCCGCTGGGGTGCTCTAATTGGTCATGTCCTTGTTAAAATGCACTGCCCATAGCTGAACACAACACTCTGGATGTGATCTGACCAGGGCAGAAGAAGAACAGACTAGTTCTGCAGCTGGGTCCTAGACCCCTGCATTCCAGTTGGACTAAAGGACTTGGCTGGTGGGGAGGAGAGGAATGGGGATTTCAGTTGGCTTAGTCACGGACAGGCAGCACCAGCAGGGTGGGGGACTTCAAGCCTCCCTACCAGTGCCCTCTGTGACCTTGGGCACATTGTGACTTCTGCGTGTGTACCCTGTTCCCAACCCGCTGGGCTAGGGAGGAGTCAAAAGACTCTTGCGAAGAACTGGAGATGCCTAGAATGAGAAGGAACCTACAGATAGTGAGTCTAAGAGTCCTTAGGGAAAGTGGGCAGAGGTGGCCAAAGAAGGCAAGTCGCCATCCTGGCTCTGGGGCAAGAGGGACGAGCTGAAGGTCTCTGGTGAGAAGGGGTGGGATGGCCTGAGGTCCCTTCCTGGGCTATTACCTTCTCCCTGGAATATTGGAGCACTGTAGTCTCCGGGGGCCTTCAATGCAGCACCCGTCCCCAGCGCCAAGGTCACGGTCAAACAGCTGCTGCCACTGCCGCAGATGCGTTGCTGTGTGGTGGGCCAAGGTCTCTTTCCACCGTTCAGGTTACAACCAATTAACTTTTGTTTCCCAGCCGGGCACCAGGAAGAAGGGGAGGGAGGAAGGCAAGGTGGGAAAGGGAGGAAGGGGGAGAGCATCTGTGTGTGGAGGGAGAGGGAGGAGGGAGACGCTTCCATCCACCCAGAAGGGGAAAGGTTCAGTTGTAGGAGAAGCTGGGCATAACAGGTACTACATACCCCCAGCGACATGACCTGAGGCCTCAGCGGTGGCAGCGGCCGCAGCAGCTGTGGCAGCAGCCGTAGCAGCAGCGGCTCGGGACCTCTGGATGAACTTGCAGAGTCGCTTCATTCTCTCGGTGGGCATCTCTGTGGTCCACAGAACCCTCACCACCTTCCCCCCTTGGTCATGGTAGGAGAGCCTGGCAGGCTCTCGCCCCTCTGAACCCAGCAAGGGCTGAGCTGGCTCTAAGACTCTGGGCGTTCACATTCTTTCTACAGAGCCCTTGGCAGCAGGTGGGCTGGCTAGAGGGCAGCAGACAGGCTGGGGCTGGGTTATCCAGCTTCGCACAAGGCAGGGGTGGAATGTTACTTTAGGGCAGAACAGGCTAATCTCCGTTAATGACACCCAGAGAGGTGCTTGATTGGCTTCTCCCATCCCCAACACTTTCCTCCAGTCACAAATTTGGCAAACTTCTCACTCTCACCCCAACCCCCAAGGCAAATTACAAACAGAACCAACCAACCCGCCAGCAAGCATGTTCCATTATGTGTCTGGCCCATAGATATCCCTCTGGGGAACCTGGAGCCAGCAACACCCATAAGCATCCAGGACTGCTCATTTTTAGGCCACTGCTATAACCCCACTCAAGTCAAGGCAACAAGCATTTATTAACTGCCTACTGTGTGCCAGGCATTATATGCAGAAAAGCAAAAAATGATTTCTTCCCTCAAGTTGCTAACAATGTTCCAGTGGAGGAGACGGCTACATATAAACAAGCTATATTCAAGTATTGACCTGTACACACTTAATAAATCCGGTTGATTGATTGCCTCAGACTCATAGTACTAACTGTGCAGTTACATAGGTAAGTTGCTTGCTTCATCAGAAATAGTATCCAAATTTCTCAATCCTTGTCCCTGGATCAGAGCACCTTGTGATGGAGGATAAGACAGGCATGAGCCTGACCCCTCTCTAGGAAGATGGCCTTCCTTCTTGTCCCTGTAGGGACGGCTTCAAGGCTGATGAAATGATTGATGTTCTATTTGAGCAGGAGGCGAAGGCAAGAGGAGGAAACTCCTCTTCTGGTGTGGGTTTAGAGGCTGGCCAGGAAGGTGTGAGCTGGCCTGTTCTGGAGGCATGTTGGTGTGAAACCGGGGATGGATGGGAGATGTCTCTGAGCGACAGCGTGGCTGTAAGCATATGTGTGTGTTTGACCAGAAAGAGATTGTCAGCAGGGTGACTGTGGAGTGTCAAGGGAACCCAAAGGTCAGAGAGGATCATGGGATGATGGGACCACAGTGTTACAGCAGGGAGGAAGTTCATTCCCTTCATTTTACAGAGAAGGAAACTGAGGCCCTGGGAGGGCAAGTTACCCAAGGGCCCATAGATAGTAAGTGGCAGAAGGAAGGTTCGATATCAGGTCCTCTGGTGTGGCTTGAGAGAAGTGAAGTGGGACTAGATACAGTGGCCAGGGTGAGCTATGCCCTGGGTGCTAGTGATGCACCAGACTGCACCAGTCTGTAGAGAGTGGTGTTGCAGGCCAAACAATTAGCTGAGCTCCAAAGCAACATGTCTAGACCAAGCACCCAAGCTCGCTCCTCATGGCTGATTTAGAAGATGGCCCCAGATGGTAGGCAATATGGCAGCTGCATAGGAAGGTTCATAGCATGAGCAGAATTCCCTTAGAGTCTGCAGTATTGACCCAACTGTCTGACGTCACCGATGTCAAGGAGGCAGCCAATTTATCTAGCAGTTCATAGAACCCCAAATCCCAGAGTGGGCAGGGACTTTGGAAGTCATCCCAAGCAAGAGTCCCTTCCCTAACCTCATAATAATCATCAATGACACTTCACAAGAGACATTGTGTACCTTGCCTCATTTGACCCTCTCAAGACTCTTGGGAGAGCAGTACTATTCTGCAGATGAGGAAAATGGGCAAGTGGTCTTCCAGATTCAGCTTTACAGCCTCTAAGGAGGGGAACCTAGCCCTCATCTGGAGGGAGCCCATACCAGTCTTGGAAACTCTCATTGTTAGGAAATTTTTCCTGATTTCAGCTTCAATCTACCTTTATTTAACTTCTGTCTGCTTCGCTAAGGTCTGCCCTCAGGGGCCAAACAAATATGATACGTCTTCCATGTGGCAGTCCTTCAAATAGGGGAAGATGTCTCCTCTGAGCCTTCTCTTCTCCAGATGAAATAACCACCTCTCTGTCATCTGATCCTCAGATGAAAATGACCTGGTCCCTATTCCCCTTTCTAGGCTGTTTGCTCATTTCTGTGCCTACTCAAATGTGTCAAGAGAATGAAATAATACATGCAAGGTGCCATGCAAACCTTAAAAGTGCTACATTATTTCCAGTTATTATTCTTTGCTTTTTTTTTTTAAGTTTGCAACTGTACTCCCCTGGACAAGTCTCATCTTGTCTGATCCCAGAGGAGGCTAAGCAGGATTAGGTCTTGGATGGAAGATCACCTGGGAATACTAGTTGCCATAGCTCTGGAGGAGCTGTCCAAAGAGACTCATGTGGACACATCAATTTAGTTTAAAAGAAACAAGACATTAAACACGTCATTTGCAGAAGATCAAAGTCAGAGCACGGAAGAGGAATGTACATAAAAACATAGGACTACAGAGCTGGAAGGGACGTTAGAGGTCACGGAATCCACCCCCCTCAGTTTACCCATGAAGAAATGGAGGCCAGAGAAGTTTAGGGACTTGCCTAGGCCACTGTGGTAGTAAGTGGCAGATTTGGCAAAACCTAGCCCTGTTCTCACTTTCCAGTCTTCTTACACCTTACTCCGTACAGTGGGGACTAGCACTTCTGGTATGAGGGTTGCTGAGCCCTCTTCAGGGCTGTTCATCCACCTCTCCCTGGCACCCAACTCTTACCTGTGGCTCCAAGAAGCTATATCATGGGCGGCTGCCACGTTCTAGTAAAACTGTTCGGGCAGATGGGTTGAGGGTAACCAACAGGCCATCGGTGAGTTGAGGGGTATCCATCCAAAGCATGTGAAACTTCCTTTGATGGAATGGGTGGATGAGAATACTTCTTTCTTGTGGCCATGAAGGCAGCTGAAACAGGTGCTGTGGAGTGCCTAGAGCTTGGTCAGACATGGAAGACAGCAAGGTCATCCATTGAATTCCAAGCCATTGCCAGTCATCCTGACCTTTGTCCTGCCACTGGACTTCAATGACTCAGAAGGAGAGAGTGAGGCTGATGGATGTGCAACTCTGCCTTACTTAAATCCAATTCATGCATAGGTCAAGACATCACCCTGTGATGTCATTGGTCTCCAAAAATCAAGGACAAACACCACCTTACTTCCTGACAGGTAATCTTCAATCTAGTGACACCCACCTCCTGGCTGTTCCACAAACAAGACACTTTACCTCTCAGCTCTGGGCATTGTCTCTGGCTGTCTCCCATGTCTGGGACATTCTCCCCTCCATTGATCCAGCCACTGACCTTCTTGGCTTCCTTTAAGTCCCAACTAAAATACCTCCTACAGGAAGCCTTCCCCAACCCCTCTTAATTCCACTGCTTTCCTTCTGTTCATGATTTTCTATGTATCCTGTATACAGCTCATTTGTCCAAGTTTGTTGTTAGCTTTGCACGAGACTGTGAGCACTTTGAGGGCAGGACTCTTTTTCGTACTATTGTATCTCCAGGAGCTTAGCTCAGCCCCTGCCACACAATAGGTGCTTAATAAATGTTTACTGGCAGACTATTCTTGCAAGTATGATGCTGTAAGAACAGTATCAGGAGTGCTAGAACTTAAAATTAGCTGAGGAAAATGAGTACAGTCAAGGAAAATTGGCAACAGAGATTTCAGGATTGAGTTACTCTGTTTTTGTGTTGCTTCTGTCTTCATTGCCAAGGAGTATGCTCTTGGCCCAGCAAGGACAGAATAAATCTGGTTAAATGGAAGCTGATTTCCAAAATAAGTTAGGAGATGATAAGAGCACACCTCACTGTTACCCAAGTTCACTACACCAGTCCCTAATGAACTATATTTTTGGGTCCTGAAAGAGCTGTGGTTAGGATTTCTGAGCCACCAGTAGTGACCACAGAAATACCTTGGTAACCTGAAGAGTACCACAGGATTGGAGAGGGACAAATGGCCAGATTTTTGAAAAAAGGGAGCAGACTAGAGCCTGAACACAATGGGCCAGTGAGCTTGACTGTGTCCTGGCAAATTCTAGAGCATATAACTAAAGGGATGGTCAGTAATCACCTAGAAAGGGAAGCCATGATCCCAGGGAATCAGCCTAGCTTTATTGAGAATAGGTTGCGTGACACCTTTCAATTCCTCTTTGACAGAAGAAAGTTGTAGATAGAGTTTAACTAGATTTTAACAGAGCATTTGACTAATACCTCACGCTCTTCTTGTGGAGAGGATGGGGAAGCATGGATTGGACAACTTGATAGAAAGATAAAAATTGATGGGTTTAGAAGTGGCTGAATGGCATTCAAAGGATGGTCATTAATGGTTCCAGCCCATCTCGGAAGATGAACACCAGAAAAGTACCCCAGGCATCTGAGCTAGACACCATGCTATTAACGTTTTAATCAATGACTTGGCTAATGTTAGAAATGGAATACTCATCACAGCTGATAATAAAAACTGGGAGGAAGCCCTAATGTACTGGACAATAGTTAATATCCAAAAGGATCTTTATAAGTTAGAATATTGGGCTGAACTGAATGGAAAGAAATTGAATAGAAATCAACAAAAAGCCCAACAGTCCTCTGCCCTCATCAGACCTCATCGAGATATCATGGTTTGAGAAGGGCAATGATAAGCAGGAGAGTGTCCAGAGGGGGCAGCCAGGATGGTGATGGCCCTAGAGATCATGAGCAAAAGTTAGATGGCCACTTGGTTTTAGAAAGGGTTCTTTTTATAGGTATGGGGTGGATTCTGAAGTCCATTCAGACTTAAATGGGTTGATTTTATGATTTCTGAGCTGGAAGGATGGGCATTGATAGGCCAGGAAGTTCAGAAACTTGATGGATGATGGATCCAGAGCAGATCAGGGGTGACAGGCCAACCAAGTGGTGCTGAACAGTGGCTGGAAGGCCAACGTCTCCTTTCCAGGGACATGACATGAA